GCGTGGTGCTGGTGACCGGTGCCTCGCGCGGGCTGGGCTACGCCGCCGCCAAGAATGCCGCATCGCGCGGCGCACATGTGATCGCCGTGGCGCGGACCGTGGGTGGGCTCGAAGATCTCGACGATGACATCCAGGCTCTGGGGTCATCGACCACGCTGGTGCCGATGGATTTGACCGACGGCGAAGCGATCGACCGGCTGGGCGCGGCGATCTTCGAGCGCTGGGGCCAGCTCGATGGGCTTATCGGCAATGCGGGCGCGCTGGGCGTATTGAGCCCCCTGCCCCATATCGCGCCCAAGGACTTCGCCAATGTGTTCGCGGTCAATGTGGGAGCCAATTACCGGCTGATCCGGTCGCTGGACCTGCTGCTGCGCCAGTCCGATGCCGGGCGGGCGGTGTTCATCTCTTCGGGCGCGGCGCTGTCGGCCAAGCCCTACTGGGGATTGTACGCAGCCTCCAAGGCGGCGCTGGACGCGATGGTAAAATCCTACGCTGGGGAAATGGCGATCACCGAGGTGAAAGCCAATATCTTTTATCCCGGCCAAGTGCGCACCGCCATGCGCGCCAAGGCGATGCCGGGCGAGGATCCCAAGACCCTGCCCTCGCCCGACGAGGTGGCGCCAAAGATCGTCGATCTGGTTTCGGCCAATTACACAAAGACCGGCATGCGGGTGGATATCCTGCAGGGCGAAGAGCCGCTTTAAACTCCCAATCGACAGGACGGGTGGACTTTCCCCGCTCGATCTGCTGAATGAAAGCGGCAGATCATTTGGGGGGAAATCATGATCGCTCGTCTTTTTGGCATTGTTCTGGTCCTTGCGCTCGGCGCTTGTTCGTCAACGGGCACACTGACCACATCGTTCGACGCAGACGCGGCCGCGTTCATCAGGACCGCCGGTCAGGCAGAAGTCTCCGGCCAGGCTTTCCTGCGCCGGAACGACGGCATCGTTGTATACGGGGCGGGCAGCGAGGTGCTGCTCATTCCGAAAACCGCCTATTCCGACGAGAGGATGGAACAGATCTATGGATCTGGAAAAATATCCTACTTCGGTCGAACCTTCACCAATGACGATCCGGACTACTACAATTACGCGCGAACCGCGATTGCAGATGGCGAAGGGCGATTCAGCTTCAACAATGTCGCTAACGGCGATTACTACCTGATCACCACCGTGACGTGGATGGTTCAGTATGCCCAGCAGGGCGGATCGCTGATGGAACGTATTTCGGTACAAGGCGGCCAGGACGTCAACGTCATCATGCGGGGCTATTAGAGCCGTTCAGGATTTGTTTGAATCAAATCCTCGGCTCTAAACC